CAGGCAGGAGTGCAATGTCACGATCTTGGCTTACTGCAACCTCTGCCTCCTGGGTTCCAGCAATTCTCCTGCCTCAGTCTCCCGAGTAGCTGGGATTACAGGCATGTGCCACCATGTCCTGCTAATTTTTGTATATTTAGTAGAGATGGGGTTTCGCCATGTTGGCCAGGCTGGTCTTGAACTCCTGACCTCATGATCCGCCCACCTTAGCCTCCCAAAGTGTTGGGATTACAGGTGTGAGCCACCGCACCCAGCCCCAATGTTTTATAGAACAATGGGATATAATTATGAAAGTAAAAATTAAATTGAACTTTTAAAAAGTTTATATCTGCTTTTTCTTAATTTGCAAAGAAAAAATGGAAAATTTGTGGAAATCTCTCCTAGGACACTTGTATTTGGTAATATAATAGAGTCAACAACAATAAACACCTGTATTTCATTAAATCTAAGATATCATTGATACCACTGATGCTAGGCTGATATAATGAAACTATGATAAAATGGTTTTTTTTTATCACTTACTGTTTGCTTTATATTATTTGAGTGTTCTTTTTATTTACACATAGTTTTTTTTCCATTATGTATCACTTGTGTGCATCCTTAAAAAGAAAAATATATACAGGAGACTATTATCCGAAGTAACGTAACTCAGGAATGGAAAACCAAACATTGCATTTCTCCTAAGTGGGAGCTAAGCTATGAGGATGCAGAGGCATAAGAATGACACAATGGGCTTTGGGGACTTGGGGAAAGATGGGAAGGGGATGAGGGATAAGAGACTACAAATCAGGTTCAGTGTATACTACTCGGGTGATGGGCGCACCAAAATCTCACAAATCACCACTAAATAACTTACTCATGTACCCAAATACCACTTGTTTCCCCCAAACTTATGGAAATAAAAAAATTAAAATAGAGGAAAATTTATACAAAATAAATTTGGTATGCTATTCCTCGGATTCCTTCATATTAAGAGTTTAATTCTTCTAAATCACTTTTTGAATTCAGAGCCATCAGTGTTCATGGTTTTCCTTATAATATTGTCGTTTGTGCTGGGCGCGGTGGCTCAAGCCTGTAATCCCAGCACTTTGGGAGGCTGAGACGGGCGGATCACGAGGTCAGGAGATCGAGACCATCCTGGCTAACACGGTGAAACCCCGTCTCTACTAAAAAATACAAAAAAGTAGCCGGGCGAGGTGGCGGGTGCCTGTAGTCCCAGCTACACGGGAGGCTGAGGCAGGAGAATGGCGTAAACCCGGGAGGCAGAGCTTGCAGTAAGCTAAGATCTGGCCACTGCACTCCAGCCTGGGCAACAGAGCGAGACTCCATCTCAAAAAAAAAATAATAATAATAATAGTATTGTCGTTTGTGCATAAAAATGTTGGTATGTAGCATTTCTTTAAAACATGTTCCACTATTGCCTTCGGGGATTTCTTTCAATTTACTTACGCTTCTTCAACATGTTTTTGTGTATACATACATGCAGGCAGTGACAACTGTCAAGACTGCAGCCTGGCTGACCACGATTATTTCAGTTGTCTATTGCTGTATAACAAACCACTGCAGACCTTCATATCTTATAATACTAACGATCATTTATTTTGCTTAAGAGTCTGATTTGGGCAGGGTTCAGCAAGGAAGCCTCATCTGTGCTCCAGATAGCGTGAGGCAGGCAGCTCTACTAAAGGCTAGTGGACCTGCTTCCAAGATGGCACTCACTCATACTACTTGCAGGTTGGTGCTGGCTGTTAGCTGGGACCTCAACCAGATCTGAGAAGCAGGGGCAGAGCTCACCACATGGCATAGGGTTTCTGAGCATGGTGGCCAGGTTCCAAAGGTGAGCATCCCAGGAAAACACCAGGCAGAAGCTATCTTGTTTTATTAATGACCTAGCTTCATAATTTACTTAGCATCACTTTGCCACACTCTATTAGTTGAGGCAATCACAACCTCCTATCCCAAGTTCAAGGGCAGAGGACATAAATTCTACTTCCTTTTTCTGTGTGTGTGTGTGTGTGAGAGAGAGAGAGAGAAAGAGAGAGAGAGAGAGACAAGGTCTTACTCTCTTGCTATGCTGCCCAGGCTGGAGTGCAGTGGCGCCATCATAGCTCACTGCAGCCTTGACCTGGGCTTAAGGAATCCTCCCACCTCAGCTACCAGAGTAGCTGGGACTACAGGTGTGTGCTGCCACGCCCAGCTACATTTTTAAATTTTTTTGTGGAGATGAAGTAAATTCTACTTTTTGATGGGGTCTTGACTAGGTTCCGAAAAAGCATGTGAGCTGGTTGTGGTGGCTCATGCCTGGAATCCCAGCACTTTGGAATGCCAGGGCAGGTGGATCACCTGAGGTCAGAAGTTTGAGACCAGTCTGGCCAACATGGTGAAACCCCGTCTCCACTAAAAATACAAAAATTAGCTGGGCGTGGTCGTACACCCCTGTAATCCCAGTTACTTGGGAGGCTGAGGTGGGAGAATTGCTTGAACCTGGGAGGTGAAGGCGTGTAGTGAGCTGAGATCATGCCACTGGACTCCAGCCTGTGCGACAGAGTGAGACCCTGTCTCAAGAAAAAAAAAAAAGCATGTGAGACTTTGAAATACTGTGGCTAGTTTTAGAAAAGACAATCTGGTGCAGTGATTATAAGATTCATCCTAATTTCAAAGATGCATGAATGGACAGAAGGATGTTCTCATTCGAATTGATGAAATGCATTGCTTCAAATGCAGATACTCCTATTCCACCCATCTACATACACCCCTCCCTGCCCCTAATTTGTTGCAGACACAACTAATCAATCATGCCACTCATTCTCCCTGAGCCTCACAAGCTTTATGACACTCTGCTAGGAGCCACTACCAACTGCTGGCAAGTGAGATAAAAAGTATTTACTCTCCTGAATCTACAGAGTGAAAAACAGGTAGCCTCCTGGACCAGGAGTCACTGGACACCCCTCTCCCCCAGCCCGTGGCTTTGTGTTTCAGTATGCCAGGAAATGATGAGGCTCTCCAGCACTAGACCATATAAACCAAACTGATGCAAAAACCAAAATGGCGCTTCATTCATATGTAGTGAGGGATGAACCCTTAGGTGCCAAAATGCCTAGGTTTGCCAACTGAGAACCTTCTTCATGTCCATTTATCTGAGATTCTGTGTAATTGTTTTGAAGTCTTTCTGTGAGAGTGGAATTAGAGACAGGTGTTGACAGTATTTAGAATAATGCATCCAGGCCTTAGTGAAGCCTAAAAAAAAAAAAACCAGTCTCAGAACCATGAAGCTCTAGGCTATTGTGCACTTTTTACTGCAAATATGTTTCCATTCTTTAACTTTGCTAGGTATGGTGGTAAATTGTAGACTGTTTTAGTAAGGGATTTCTGGAATAATTCTCATGGGGGTGGCGGGGAACCTTCCAGGGAAATGCTACTTTGTAATGACTTTTTTTTTTTTTTTTCTTTTGACCACCAGACTGTCCTCTAAAGTAAGTGAGACATGCAGGCTTCAGA